CAGCCCAGTTTGGATCTACATCTATCTCTCTCTGCTCTGAAGGGGCAAGCAATCTCCCTGTTTGGTGTAGTGAGATTTGATCAGCTCTACTCTTATCTCAGCCGTTACTATGCGTGCCTCTCTGTGTCCAAACCTTGAACATCAGATGCAGTCTCTCAGTCCCTGCTCAGAAATCCCACAGTAGGTTCTAACTGAACAGAAGAGAGAGATGCTTCTTTTTAAGGTTTGGCTAATGTTTGCCTCAACAGCTTTTTGCCAAAGTCCAGCCCACCAAGGCATTTAAAACTGATTCATTCATGTGTGGGCTGTCACGAGAGTTGTGCCATTGATGCTGTTGGCCGTGACCTCTCGTCAGAGACAGCCATTAAAAGCTGGAGTGCTCACAGATGCAGGGCAGAGTGGAGCATGTTAAAAGCACAATCCAAATGCAGTGGTTTCCAATTCTTTTTCAGTCTGACGTAGTACAACAGCCCTATTTGATGAGTTGGAGTACCACATAATTAACACTACTTGTCATGTTCCAAATGTGTTCATTTGAATGGATTTTAAACTGACTCTTACATAAAGGAATAGCAAGTTAGCTTAGCTAAATAGCTAACCTGGCTCTGTCCAAAGGCACAATATCAGGCCACCAGCATTTCTATATCTTGTTTTGTTTAATCATACAAAACCAGAAATAAAAACACATTTGTAGTTTTATGGGGGGTATAAATGAATGGTTTTACCTTTGGACAGAGCCAGGCTAGCTGTGTCAAAAAGCTTGCTTCCAGTTTCCAGCCTTTATGCTAAACTAGCAACATGTACGCCATAACGCACAGATTAACTCTCTGCAAGAAAGGAAATCCAAGATATCAAATTATTATGTTAAATATATTAACGTGGATATTCTTACGACATTTGTTTTATCCATGACTGAGTGATCCTGGAATTGTCTTGGTCTCTTCATTTTTTCTTTTCTTGAGTGGGTTTGATAAAGTTTGTATTTATACTGCTTCCACTTGGCTTGGCAGAAGTAGGACATTTCAACCATTTATCTGTTTCATTTAGCAGTCTTTCTCAACTTCTTTGCTCAGTTGTTAACTAGTTTTCAAGTAATCGCAGCATGTGGTGTTCGGAAGGTGTGTGGTGTGTCCTCTGCAGTTGGTCCGTCATAGCAAGAAATTTAATGGTTATTGTGACAATAAATATACCAAAGATTTGACACAATTTGTGAACCTACTTGGCAGGTTCACCTGTGGTGTTGTCTTTTTTTTTTGGCAACTGCAGAAGTACCCCTTATGGACCCCTGTTAGTGGTTTAAATCTAATGAAAAAAGCTGGAACTTATACAATTGATTTTAGCAGTCTTTTGATATAATAAACACTAGACACAGAATGAACTGAAGATTTTTAATATTTTAATTATAATTGTAGAACATAAATTAGCAACTAAACTGTTATTTGTCCAGTTGAAAATAGGACAGAAGAGGTTGCCAGATGTTGAATGTTTCTGTTGAATCTTGAGAAGTAGCCTATGCTTTCACTTAAACTTTGTTTACATTTTGGCAAGGACCATTAAAATAATGGCGAACTATTTATTAGCAGTCCCTGTTTGCATTGTAATATGGATTATTATTATTATCACTGGATTACATTGATCCTAAAGAAAAGTTAAAACATGATGTTTCTCAGGCAAGTTGACGGATTTGCCGCTTTGCCAGGACATCCTTGTAAAAGAGATTAAAAATCTCAATGGATTTCTTTTCTGGTAAAATAAAGGTAAAATAAAAGAATTATGGTATTTTATTCGCTATGAACATTGCTATGAATGTAAACATGAACATGACAATGATATTCTCTGAAAGTGTCAGTCACACTGAATCTAAAAATATGCACATCATGTCTGTGTGTTCAGATTTAATCCTCCACCTCCTGTCCACAGACAGGTCCAAACAATAGGACTGTGGGTAAAATGGTTATTTTGATCTAGAAGCTAAACACTTCTATATTTTGAATAAACTAGGCCTATACATTAAAATTATGTGGTCAGCAATACCTAAATGGACCTTTAACTTTGCCAAGGCATGGCTGAGGTTGTTGGCTCTGCATGTGTGCAGTGTCATGACACAGTTGTCATGGGTTAAAGAAGTAAAGCCCACTGTAAGCTGTCCAGGTCATGATGCAGAACAGGGTGAGGGCAGAAGCCACTTATCTATGCCCCCTCTATTTCAACATGCGCGCACACACACACACACACACACACACACACACACACACACACACACACACACACACACACACACACACACACACACACACACACACTGCCAAGCCGTCTCCTCTGTGCTTCAATAATTGTATTGCTCTGCTGGCTGCCAGTGAGCTCTGCCTTCTGTGGAGCAGTAAATCCTCCTTGTATGAGCCCTGCCTGCGGTCTGGGCTGGATGTTAGCTGTGGTGGCATACTGCCCTCTTGTGGTAGACTTTAAGACTTCCATTTAAGATCTATGCAGTTACATGCAGGTCAAAGTAAAAGGTTAAATATTCAGCAATACCATGTTCAACCAAGCTTAAAATGACTTGCTCCTATAGACTTTTTCCTCTTTCACTATGTTGAATGTGTTGTTGTTACTGTTGGAGGTCATGGTTCATGATTCAAATGTGGAGCAGGAATGTCTAAAAAACAGCCAGATGCTGTTTCATAGAGCACCTGTGTTGGACAGTTTGTGGCTTTTATAGTCCTAAGTCTTTGACAACTATTGTAATTTGGATGTTTCAGTGTGAAGCATATTGTAATTATACAACAATACATTTATGACAGGTCTAAGCATGAGTATGGCCCCACCACAGTTGCTAAATGGTATGCAGTTGTATCTGAATTGAAAGTGGCAGGATGAATAAATAGGTGTCATGTATGTGTTTGTGTCTTGTCTTGTAGAGGCTAATGATAGTGAGGATGGGTAAGAGAAGAGCTGCTCCCCACCAGATGGTGGGTAATGTGGTTTGCTTTAGCTGCCCACCATGCTCACTCTAATTAAACAGAGGAGATTACATTAACATTGGCTCCCACTCAATCTGCTCCTCCAATGAGCGTGGCCGTGCTCTGAAGGCAGGGTTGGAGATCAGAGGTGGAGGGGTTACGGAGGTGATTGTCAAGTCAAAATGACATATTTGCTAAATTACTTTCTTAGTGAGGAAATGAAAGATGGAGAGGTTTAGAAGGAAATGCTTTAGACCACATGCTTGGATCCACTAGAAAAATCTAAACTTTCCCACACTCACCACTGCTGTTGTCTTTTTAAATGCACTCAACCTCCATCTGCTCTGATTATGAGTTCAGTGGTCAATAACATCTTACAAGTGGTCAAAAAGCAATTCATTAATTTAACAATGAACAATAAAGCACATTATAAATAGAGATTTAATTTGACAATAAAAACAGATTATATTAAGATTTTACAGCTCAGTCTGTAAGTAAATATTTCAATTTAACTATGAGGTTACTGGTCACAACTGAATAGATAATAAATGGTGTAAATTAATTTGACAATACATTTTACCAAAAAGAAAGCAATACTTGATTTTACTTAAACAATAACTCAGTTTTAATAGTGCTTTTTTAAAGGAAATTAAACAGGGAAATGTACTAATTTATTAATTTTGTTTTTCTATTTGCCAACTCCGTTATTGTCAATGTAGCACTCTGAGTCAAAGCTGTGTGTGTGTGTATGTGTATATGTAAATGCTCCGTACTTGTATAGCGCCTTTCTAGTCTTTTCGACCCCTCAAAGCGCTTTTACACTACATCTGCATTCACCAGTCACACACATTCATACACTGAGCCTAAGTGCTCAAACGGAAACTAACTAACACACATATATATATATTTTTTTTTACCTCAAAATAATAAATAAATAAAGAAAAGTTCACTGACGGTGCATGGAGCTGTAACTTTGAAGATGGTTGAAGTGAATGATGACGTCTTGTCCGTTTACCCTGCCAGCAAGTTAAGAGGTCTGAGTTTGCGTCCTCCATCTTCCAGCCCTTATTGCTTAAGTCATTGGTTCCCAAACTTTTTGCCCGTGAGCTTAAAAAAACAAAGCAAACAAAGCAAAACCATTTTTCAACCCTTCCAACTGTTTTGTATGTCTGTAAGTTGTGAGCTCTACAAACAAAGACTGATTCTTTCCATGTCACATTCACAGCATACTCAGAGGCTACTTGGTAAAATGAAGAAGATAGAAAAGGAAACCAAAGGAAGGAATACATTGCACTGTTAAATTGCAAAGGCATTAGGCGAACACAAAAACTGTACAGTAAATGCTGCCAGCACTTTCCACAGTACAGTACTCACTTTCACTGTGCTGTGCAGGGAGCAGTGGCTGACCTGATGCACTGACTCTTACGTCCTTCCACATCTGGGATAAAATGCAGGCCAGCTGTGGCTCTGGCAGAGTCCCATTAGAGGTCACCACAGAGCCTGGAGTGACTCCAGCTGTTTGCAAGTCGTCCAGATGACACATAAACTCTATAAACAGCTTGAGACTGTAAAGGTTTGTGGCAGGAGCCAATAAACCGTTAAGAGGATCAGCAGCATTGTTTTTGGGCAGATGTCTGTAGCAGTGAAATGTTGAGGTTCAATTAGACCACATAGGCTACAGAGAGGAGTTAGCCAGTGATACGCAAGAGATACGGGTACCCAGGGGGTGCTTCTACAGGTGCCATTTTGTACATGAACAGACTCAGCTGATTTGAGAAAATAACAATTAAAACTAGTTGGCAAGCGAGCAGGGAAGCCTGAATAATTAGCTAAGATTAAAAGATAAACATATGAAATAGATAGCTGAAATAAATTGATAAACCGTTAAAACAGAGACTTAAAAGTGATGAATGAATAGTTATATAACTATATCCACTTTTACTTTATCAGTTATGTTAAATAACATCCAGTTTAAAATCAATTCAAGTGAATGCAACAGACAAAAAAGGTTGGGAACCATACAGGCAAATGAGACAAGATGCATAAAATAGTAACTTGTTTTATTCTTTTTTTAACCATGCCACCGAACACCGACGCATACAGAGTTGTGCCTGAATCCACACTGAGAAAACACTTTCACACACTGTGTTACAAAGCTGTAATGAAGAGGGATTTTACTGCACACATGGCAAGAAGAACAACCCTGATTGGATACCAGGTCGAGCTTTGATCTGGCCCTGAGGTAGACAGACATTGACATAATCTAAACAATGCTAATCACATCCTTCTAGGACACATCAAATAAAAGGACATCTGCATTATCACAACATAGAAAGATCAAAGAAAAAACCCTTTTCAAACAAAAGTGCTCTATTTCTTTTGGTCCACCAAGGAAATCCATTTATAGTGCATGTTCATGTAAAATAGATACAGTGAATGTGTGTTTTCATGGCACTGAGTGTTGCTGGCTACTTAAGAAGGCATTAATGCCCACAGATGCCAAGATTTGCTATACACACTGTTTTCATCCAAAGATCTCAGTCCATTGTCACTTTGAAGGGAACAAATTGATGCAAGTTCCAAGCTATTCTGATGTAAAAGTACACACTTGTCTCAAACTATCAGCCACTATCACAGTATGTTGCTTCCAGTTTCAATGTTCAGACAGAGTGGATACATGGCAGTCTATCTTTAATTAAGTAACAATAAACAAACACCCAGAAACAACTACCAATAGCACAGACCCATGTACTCAAGCACATCAATGCTCTACTTATAAAAGAGGCACAAGGGAGGGATCTTAATCAAATCAGAGACTTATAAAACACACACATTAAGATGTTTTTCAAATCATACCAAATGTAAACAGATAGCAAATTACTGTAATACAAAAATACAACATGTTTAAATCTATAAGGCCTGTGTTAGGCTCACATAAGGGAATAACATACCATGACAGTTTGTACATTACAGCTACACTACAACTGACGATTACCTGCTCCTAGTGATTCAATGTCAGAATTTTCTTTTCATGTTTTGTAAAAATAAAAAAAAACTTCTTCAACTTCATGTTTTCTTCAATTTTCTCCTAGAAAATTCTGATTTGTTGATTTTATAAGACATCTATATATAGTTCATGATAAAAAACTACACGTAAAAGCCATGTTGAGGCTGTTGCATTTTTTTTACACTGTTTGACCATTTTAAATTATGATGCATTTGTTACAAAATTAAAACTACTGATGAATAGTTTGCAGTAGGTTCAAAACAAACGGTGAAAATTCAGTAGAGGTAGAGCTCGCTCTACTAGAAATCATCCCAAGAGACACCGACTGTGTGATGAAAACCAGCACATATTTGGTAACAAATAAACAACATATAAATAGTACAACCTATTACATTGCAAGAGAAACTCAAATTGTAAGCCAGCTACCTTGAAACAAAAACACCCACTGCAAGAAAGACAAGGCAATTAAAGAGATCAAGCATATGAGGTCAAAACGTGGCAGCCATTCAAGTAAAACATGCAGAAAATAAACAACTTCAAAATAAAAATCCAACAAAAAAAACAAAAAACAAACAAACAGAGAAGTCAAAGGAATTTAGGAGAGAAACTGTTGCAAAGTTCAGCCAATCGAGTCTTTGTGGAATTATTTTCAACATCTACTGCACAATCATTGAAGATGTCTCAGGTTGCCTGATGGTTTAGCAATCAATCAAAAAGCTCCTGCTACACACACAGGTCAGCAGTCGCAGCCGTTGTGGCATTGATTTTTCACTACAGTGGATCCATTAGAGATACAGTTAATATCAAAACTGTGTGTGAGGGAGAGAGAATGTGTCCTTGTATGTTTGTGTGCACTAGGGCTGAAACAAAAAGTTGTCAGGAAACTTAACTGTCAACAATGTTGATACTCAATTGATTGTTTAAGTCATTTTTCGGGAAAAATGCTCAATATTTATGGTTTCCTGCTTCTCAAAATGTGACAATTTGCCACTTTTCTCTGTTTTATTTGATTCTAAACTGAATCTCTTTGGACTTGACTGTCAGTCGACCAAAACTAGTTATTTGAAATGTTTCCTGACATTTCTCAGACTAAACGATCACTTAAGTAAAAATAATCTAATTGACAATGAAACTAATCATTAGTTACAGCCCTAGGGTACACACATTTGTACTCGTGCTAGCGGGTCTCTGTTGTCATGTAAAAACCTTGTATCTCCCAGAATGACAACTTCACATGACACAGTTTTTCTAAAAAGAGTCCACATTTTTTTCAACCTATAGAGAAACATGTAATCTTTCTGCATGAAAAATCAGCAACACTGGAGTTACGAGGTTTTGACCCAACAGTGACAATTTCTGTGTGATTGTGTGTGTGTCAGACTGTGGGTGGGGTCCAAGTCCTGCTCAGACGTAACAGACGTACAGGTAAGTCTTTTCTATCCTCCAGTCTGCCGGCACGTCCTCCGGTTTGTGGCCCTTCATGTGCTTCTGCATTGCGGCCAGGCTCGGGCAGAAGTCCTGGCAGATGGTGCACTGGTATGGAGACGCTCCGTTGTGAGTGCGCAGGTGCTTGATCATAGCTGAGTAGTCTCTGGACCGTTGGTGACACAGCTTACACTCGAATGGCTTCTCACCTGAAAAATTCAACAAAACAGCATTAACCTTGTAGAGCCGGAGCCAGAGGGCCTGCCAGGTGAAACTGGATTCACCTCTATTTGAGTCCACTGTACTTGTTGTGGTTGTGTGTGTGCGCGTGCGTGCGTGGTGTGAGTATCTGTGCTCAAGGATTAGACCTATATCGGTTTGCCTTCAGTTTGATATTAGATATTGGCCAGTCAGCATCATTCACCGCAAACACGACAAGAGTTTTCTCTGTCCTCAGCGAGGAATCAGATAGCTGTCAGTAAAATGTAACTTGAAACTTGAGGTCTCAATTTCAATACAAATTTTAATGCCCTTTATGCACCTTTTTTAATAAAAAATAATCTAGTTTTGTAGGACGCTACAAATAGTATAAAAGACATTTCTTATTGTCAACAGTCCCATGAAAAGACCAAAACATACATTTATTTGTATAACTGAGTCTTTCTAACTTCCCTACCCTGTCTCTGGCACTCGGCCTCAAGCCAATTTGTTCTAAGTAAATACGTTGAATCTTTATAAATGGGTCAAAAATATAGATGTCATTTTCTAAAACAGCTGTTCAATGTAGTTTTTAGCTTACTTTACTGAAATAGGAGTAAAGTTATTAATATACTATATATTAAAATAATATATTAATAATATTAGTGAGTTTTTCTGCAGCAGGATGTGGGAATGTGTCAAAATAAATTACAGTGTTCATCATAATAAAAGGACATGTCATGTAGTGCAGTGTGGCTTATTTATGTGTTTTGGGGAATAAGCTATATTCGAGTTTGGCTGCATAGGCAATATTTGTCAGTTGGATCCGTTCATTGTGGGTTTTGTGGGTTGACAAAAAAAAAATACAGTATTACCAGTGTTGACCTTTTTTTTTATTTTAAAGATATTGAGTAATGGTACAAAATTACCCCTGTTAGCAGCACCAAAATACCATGAAGACCCTGCTCACCTTTATATCAGAGTGTGTTTTCGTCTCTGAACTCTCACCTGTATGTACACGGTAGTGCGTTTCTAGCTGGTGTTTGAGGCTGAACCTCTTCCCACAGCCGTTGCACTCATAAGGCTTCTCTCCTGTGTGGATGCGTTTATGGCCCCTCAGCGTGCCGTCGTCTCTGAAACAGCTCCCGCAGAATTCACACTCAAACGGGTGATCGCCTGTAAACATAGTCGTGTCACCACAGCAGCCACAACACCAACACAGCCCTTTAGTGTGAGATTGCATTAAAGGCTAACTATCTTGGGCATGACATGGTATGGCGCATATGTAGCTGCATAGGTCAAATATTCACAGAGCCCCTTCTGCACATGCATATCAAGCAGAGAAATAATGTGCTTTCAGACGTTGCTAATGTTATGCCACGAGGCCACTCCTCTTGGCTGTCTACTAATAGCTAATAAAAGTCCTCCAGGCATGTGTTGCTCTGTTCTCTATACTGTAGTTAATCTATTTCTCTCCTAGGCTGAGGATTTGACTCATCTCCAATGACCTATGTGCCTCATTATCTCAGTGTCCACAGCAACAGCCAAGTCAGAGGATACATTGCTCTCCTCATTACAGGCCGATTCTCCCCAATCCCCCACCCCACTGTGGAGCAGATGACATTTACAAAATGTTACTTCCAAGCAGAATGGCATACAAACAAGATACGCTGCCATGGCCAAAACTCCCTTCACTTCTGTCTCTTCACATCAATTATGTATTTCTCCTGTCTAGACATCAAGCCGTTGTGACAGTTGGGAGTGTTATTTAAGGTAAAAGAAGAAAGGGGGACATCTTTTCAGTAAATATCTCTCCGTCTCCTGCGGCACTAAGACTCACCCTCGGTAGAACACACAGACAAGTCATTTCCATTTGCTTTTCCTTCAATATTTATTTGGGTTTCCTCTATCATTTTGGGTGAACCACACTAGAACTGACAGCCGTGAATTGCAGAAGCCCAAAGGCTGTCTAAGAAACCAAAATATAAACAGGATGAAATTGCCCAAAATATGCACCGGCCATAACGGTACAGTGCTGTCATCAGAGAGGTGAGTCATCTTACAGAGAAGGGAAAAAGGAGGGTGGGAGAGGATGCATGCAAATTGACTAAAACCTTAAAGCCAGTAACCTAAGGAAATTAACCCATATACAAAAATAAATACAGCCGCCTTGGTCTCTTTGCCAACATATGCACGTGTTTGACACCACATGCTTGTGTTTTACGACAGGTGATAACACCATAGACAGCGATGATGGTGCAAATGATCCGTCTCTTACCCGTGTGCGAGCGCAAGTGTCTTTTGAGGGTAGTGTGACTGGGGAAGGGGCGCTCGCAGTGGCTACAGATGTAGCTGTGCATGCCTGTATGGACCTCCATGTGCTGCTGCAGGGCCTTCTGGGTCTGGAAGCGCTTTGCACACAGCAGACAGAACACCGCCATGTCAGTCCCTGGAGAACGCACAAGACACAGACACAGTTATTTCAGTACCATACACAGACAGGGCCTTAAGTGGGGAAACTGGGTCACTTCAACTTTGTGCGAGTCCTCTGAGGGAAAAGCTTCTTTCAAAGAGCAAGTGCCTCTACCTAAACTAACTCCCCTAAAAGCCCAGAGGCACTTTCAACTGTGAGTCTTTATACTTTCTATTTTAAACCATGAAAGTCATTGTTTTCTTTAAGAATTTCCCACACAATGCACAGCATGCCAATCACACAATCAATGCCTCTTTCCTGGTGTGTTAGATGTGTAATTATTCTCTTCATTCCCCATCAGGAGTCTGCTCTAGCCTGTGAAGTCCTCTGTCTCTGTGCTCAAAGAGCGGCTGATAGTAGCTCCACCCTAAATGATGCCTACACTATGCGCTCTGTGCAGAATGTTAAGTAGTGATATCAAGCCATTAAAGGCAGGACTGCAGGAAAAAACACAATCCAGTTTAATCCTGTGTGTGACCTGGCATCTCTTTGGGGCTGCTTTCCTGTTGCACAGAGTGTGGAGAGGAATACAGATAGGGAGTCGCTGGCAGGGTAGCTCAAGTCAAAATGGCTATGTGAAGAAGATCCATTGGCTGTCATACAGTCAACACTTGATCTACAGGCTGTGTATGCCAGCACTCAAATCCATTCTGGCATTCACATCGATGCAAATTCATATGTGTGGTAAGACTGAGGGACTAGTTAATCAGCTGCATTGGACATAATGTGCATGTCCTGGAGAGTGAGGCTTTAATGTGAGATTATGAGGTCCTTATTTCTCTGTCTGCTCAGGTTGCAGATCATTTACAATGCTAGCAGGTCCCATTGCTCCTGACTCAGATTCAATCAGACATCTCCAGCGGAGGATCATTAGTAAACAGAGGACTGTGCCAGCACTTCATTGGAATTCAAGTGGGGTTGCTGTGTCGCATTTAAAATGCAGTCTGATGAGGTCCACTAAATCAAATCATTTGTTACTGTTATTGAAGTGCCTTGAGGCAACTGGCAATTAAATTGGAATTAACGCAGGGAAAGGGATACAGCACACTCATACTAAGAGGGAAGAGTGTCAGACACTTGCTTTAGGTTCTATCAAGTTAACAGACATGCCTGTTTAACGTAGAAAGAAAAAGAAACAAATCAAGCAAATTCACATTTTCAGGGATAAATCAAAAACATTCACTGCGTATTGTTTACTAATCCACGGATCACAATTTACTCAAACAAAGACGCTTTTTTAGACTTCACATTTCACGGATAAGTACAATTTGGCATAGAAGCACAAAGCCTCTTCTTTGAAATTATGGTGCTTCTTTTTTTTTAACCTACTTTTGAAATTCCCCCACCCAAAACGGCACTAATGGAAATGATCATTCGTAATGATTAACAGAAAGAAGACAGGATGAAAGACATTCCCTGATCTTTAACAATCCTGCAGGGAGGCGATCCGGTGGAATGAACTGCACCTGTTCAGAGGCTTTAGCCTGTGGACTTTAGCACAAAGGGCACACAATGAGGTTCAGGCCCTCATTGACCAAGCCCATTAGTCATAGGCTCCTCACGCAGCTCCTACAGTCCCTGTCTTTATGCTGTCGACTAATGACCAAGGCCCTTTCTCACCCACGGATCACAATATTTTAGTTGAAGACAAAAGACCCTCCATTCTCAACGCCTCTGCACCCTCCCCACTCTCCTTATCCGCTGACCATACAGGAAATCCACTGTCTAACAATTTCACTTTCTGCCTGAGCCATACCTAACTAAAGCCAGATCACTGTGCACTGTGCAACAGTGGAGTCTGGATAATGATCTATCTAAATATGGCTAAAGACATTGAAGAAGCACAAAATGCAGTCTCTGTGTGACCCCTGATGTGGAGCCTTGATCCACTTTAACCAGTTTATTTTGTAATATTTGCTGCAGCCAGCAGGGGGAGTGATTTCTGTTCCAATGTGTCCAGGTTTGCAGACAGAGCAGAGCCCTCAACCAACTAAATAACCTATTATCCACCTTGTAGACACTTCAGAGCTGCTTTAATCATCCTTTCTCCACTCTGTCTTATTAACTATCATATATTGGAAATGCTCGTTTCAGTGCAGCCTGCATACTTTGTTCTGTTCTGTCTGTTTAGCATCCCAGCTTCTTTATGGAGGTAAAGCATTACTCCCTGACACACTGGCAGACTCTTACAGATGTATATCCTGATCCTTCTGTCACCAACAATACTGAAACTTGAGTAAAAAAATATGACAAATATTCTGTCACAAGAATCTCACTCTTGATCTCAGGTTGACACACGGTGACAACAGCTCAGCAGTCGTTTTCGGTTTTATTCTGCGCAACAGACGCTGAAAATAAAAATAACAAATAATATCTTGAAGTGTAAACAAAAACCTTCGGAGGCAAGGAAGTGTTTGTATGTGTTCGTGATGGCATTTCGCCTCGCTGCGCTCTGTTAACTTTTCAAACAAAAAGGATTTGCAGTTGTAGAGTTTTCCAGTAAGCTTTGGTAATAAGTGCAGAGGAGCTTCTTTGAGAGAATAAGCCCTAAAGTTGGCAGTCATTGCCCCCTGCTTTCTCACCCTTAACCAGACAATGGGCTTGGGATTTGGGCTTTAAGGCACAGGATGACCCCTGACCCTTGGCCCTCAATGGGCTAAATACCATGTAATCAATGGTATTCCTCAAAGTCCAGAGAGTTGACTGAGCATTGTGTTTAGTGGGAGGGAGCCTGAACAGTGGGAATAATGATTTACTTTCAAGAAATTCTGCTATAATGCAGAACATATAAACATTTACTGTGTGCATTATATGACTGAGCTGCTTGTCTAATGCATTAGGTTGGTGCTTCAGGACGGTTTGAGGTTGTTATGTATGTTATTTCAGCATATCTCCAGTAAGACCATGTGTAGGCTCATGTGATTTAACATGGTCTGCCTTCATACATCTGCCACTTATTCAGTCCAACCGAGGTGGGAGCCAGCCACGCTCTCACGCTGCCTAAGAAACAAAACCATGTGTCTAGGCAACCAGATAGGATCATGGTCCTTGTTGGGGTGAAGTGTTCAAGCTAATCCCTTCATTCACAAATAAGCGCAGCCTGTTTCTTTTCAAGCGGCAAACAAAAGTTTTCCCACCCTGAGAATCTGGGAGTAAACCCACTGCAAATTGAACAAGAGATTGTATTCAGTGACGACCGCAAATCTGTATCATCTCTTCTGTGTTAATCTCAACTTTAGTGTCAGAGCCCACCAATTAAACTGATTGATTTGTGAATTATTTGTCTTTTATATTTGCTGAAATACATGAACATAAAACATTTAATTCTAATGGTAATTTAGCAAATAATTGGCATTATTTAAATAAATGGTTGCATAATTTGATCTATTAAGGTATTTGTTTTGATAAATTGTGAATGCGGGCCAAGTCAAAGCTAAACAGATGCTGCTGCTGCTGCTATTAAAAGGAAGGAATTTCACAGATTTCACAATTTACAATATTACATCGTGGCTGATCATGTCCACCAGCTAGAGTATGCAATATGCAGACATTAAAAACAATGTCGTAAGGCCCTGCTCTGTGCAGTGTATCTTCACTGTCTGGTGTCTCACTGACCCAGTTAAACATACATGCTCATGCAGGATACATTATGTGCTAGACTTCACATGATGCGCGTTCATGCTATGTATTTGTGCAGACCGCTCCTTGTAGATGTAGCAGCTCAAGAAGCACACACACAAACACTACAGTACCTTAAACAACCCCGGGCGCTCATCAGTAGACTGCTAATCTACCCGAGTGAGGAACAACCGACTTAATAATTAATGCAACAAGAGATACGTTGCTCGTGTTTAACCACCATTCCATGGACCGGTTCATTGAGGTCACACACTGTTTCATTCGCTTTGCTTCGTAGAATGTTTACAATATTTTCTCTATGTACTATATTTTATTCTACGAGAAATGACAGAGCGCCACTTGGCTTATCATGACAGTCAGTCATCAAAAATAAACTCTGGGGGTACAATGGCCAAACAGAGCACAGTTCAATTCAATTTAAGGCTTGTATGAATTATAACTGGGTATTAACAAGAGGGTGCAATATGATGATGGACACGCAATTATGCAAGATAAAAAGGTTTGCATTAAGAGGTCTGCATTATAATGCCCGGGCTGTATCTGAATGGACTACAGGACTGTTAATTAGTGCTCGGACAGAAGGTAATATTATTCACTTGATGAAGCAGCCTGTAATGTGTACAGCTGCTGTGCGTACACAAAGGTGGCACTCTTGTGGCCTTTGCCTTTAAGGCAAGGTGGCAAAATGGCCAGCCAGCATGGTTTGAAGCATATACAGTCGATTTCTGTGCGTGCTGTAGATAAGCTACAGTCTTGGGTTTTCCAAAATTGAAAGCTTGGTGCCCCAGAGCCTTGACTTACTCTGATGAAACAAACCCCTTTGTTGTGAGAGCAATTCGGAGACAGATCCATTCTTTTATTTTGGGCACTGACAAGTAGGTCAGAGGAGACTATGACAGTGCTGTGGTGAGGAGTAAACAGCAGCACATGATGTTGTTTTCCTCTCAGTCCTGGCATCCAACACCAGCAGCAATCCTTCCTTGCCCTCAGGAAGTCCTCACATACCCCCCTACCCCCTTCCCTTCCCACAGTCCACTCCGCCCCCACAACCCTTCCTCCCTTTTGATCTCTAACTTCAGCAACCCACAGCCATTCACCTCTGACATATCAAAATGGTTATAGAGTCTTTCACTGTTGCTAGTGTTGCCAAATTGCTCTGAAGTAAGGTCCCCCAAAAGTAGTATTTCCCTCCAGAGTAGGTGGAAAGCAGTGTTGCAGCTGCTGAGGTATGACAAGTGTCAGTCTGCTAAGAGGAAACTCATTTGGCTCACTGGTTATGCCACATGGCAAATTAAAGCCAAGGCTGCACCGTTGGCACTGAAAGACCCCAGGTAATATTTATTAAATATTAAATATTTATTAAATGCAAATCTTTGTATTGCGTTGGAGCAATGTCATGATTTCCCAACATAACCTCAACACAGCTGATTAAATTACCTGTAGCTCAATTCGGTGTAGGCTGTGAGAGTAAAAAGGGTCACGCGTCACAGCAGACCAAGCTGAGATCATGACAAAATGAGAGAGTAATGCCCTCCTGTACCCTGCTCTGAATACACTGCCAAGCTGAAATTGAGCTCTGGATGTTTACAACTTGGGGAGATGAGGGTAGAAACTTCTGGGCATCGTTAACACCCCTCCATGTCCACATCCATTAAGTATTCATACTGTGTGTGCCACCTGGAGTTACAGTTACATGCCAAAGCTCCTGAGAGGGTTATCACCTTTCTCTGACAGTAGCAGAAAAGGTGTGGATTCAGACACTGTCAGGCATATGTACCGTCTCTCAACAACAGCTTTTTTCCCCCAAAGTTGGAGAGGTGTGAGTCAAACGCGTGTTGTTAAGTCGACCTCGCTTCGAGCAAATGGGATAATATTCAAGAGTAAAGTGCCACTTCACTACAAGGTGTACTTAAAAAGTCTTTATAAGTCGTCAATAATGTTATCAATGACAACAAACTAGTTTCAGTGCTTTAAATATCAGTATTGAGCTGTTATAATACAGAGCTCGCCAGGTTGAGTTCATATTTAACTGATCATGTTAGTTGGTGTTTGTCTGACATGGGGAGTGGGAAAAACTGGGTCATAGGTTGTCCACTTTAGCCGACAATTTTTTTCATTTGCGATCTACCAATTCATTTCTTTATTAATCATTTGCTGTCTAAAATGCCAGACAATAGTAAAAAGTGTCCATCACAAAATGATGATGTGTTCAAAATGCTTGTTTTGTCCAACAAACAGTCCACAAACCCAAAGATGTTCATTTTATTATAGTAGAAGGCCAAGAAATCCAGCAAATATTAACATTTGAGAAGCTGGAAGCAGTTATTGATTATCAAAATATTTGCTGATTGATTGACTAATCGTTTTAGCTCTACTATAACCTGCAAGGCTTTTATTTACTCAGGTTTTTTAAGCTTTCTATTAGAAGGTGTCAGGGGTCAAACAATTCATAGGAGGTTCCTTCCTGATTAAACACAAAGCAAGCCACATTGTCAGAGAATATACAACAAGCAAAAAAGGTAAAAATATAACAAACACCACCTGGGAAATATTAAATTTCCATTATATATTTTTTATCTTTTTTATGCATTATTACTGATACATTGATGTGCATTGTTAGTTTTTTGAGATTTAACATTTGTTTTATGTATTCCATTATGTTTTATTATATCGGTGTGTTTTGTTTCACCTGAGTGCATTTCCCTTCAGGGTGATCAAATTGAAGTTGATAGAGAAAGTATTAATTAATTACTTCTTAACCATTATTAAGGTTGTTATTGACAACTTAAAAAACCTTTATAATGCTGATCTAATATTAAAGTGACACCAAAAGTAATTACACTCTTGAGAATATCACAGAATAAGGTCTAGACCTGCTCTATATAAAAAGCGCTATGAGATAACTGTTGTGAATTGGCACTATATAAATTACAACATTGATAATAGTAATACAAATAGTTTCTATTAATTAGGTTATATATTGTCTTCTCTGTCTATTGTCTCCCTTTTCCTCTTCCTATAAAACACTTGCCATATAGGTAAAGTTTGCTTGCTTGCTGCTGATAATAAAGAAGTCTGGGAATGTGTGCTTTAAGAATTGATTTAAAAGATGAAAACGACATCAGCTCCCCAGGCAGGTTGTTTCAACCTCTAAGAGTCCAGATTGCAATTCACAAATCACCATCCAGGTTTGTGCAGCCAAAACAAAACAAAAAAAACATTAAAAATGTTTAAATCATTGTGATGCCAATTGTTGACGCCAGACATTCACTGGGAAAGAAAAGGTTGTGATACAAACATGTTCTTGATTTGAGATTATTAAAAAACAAGAGGTGTTCATCTGGTTGAGCGTGCGAGTGTAAGGTAAATAACACAGGCACACTCAGGCAGGAGGTGAGGATAGTATGTCTGTGTAACTGTAATGCTGCTGCTGTAAAGCTACTGGTGGCAAAGTGGCATGCAGTGGGTCTGGATGCCAAGAGATATTAGTGGGTGATATATGAGAGGGCCTCCCACCTCCCTGTTGATAAATTATGGAGCATCATGACAGGAACAGTTTAACCCAGCCAGCATGACAGGCAAGTTTAGACCCATGATCACAAGTCCCGTAGTCACGGCTTACTTGACAGCTCAATGCATGCTGTCCATGTTAAACACTGTGTGTGTATTGTGTGTGTATTGTGGGTGGGTGGGTGGGTGTATTGGTGCATGCACATGTTTGTAAAAGTACCTGTGTGTGTTTGCCTGTGGGCTTCCAGAGCATCCTCAGAGGAGAATGTTGCTCCACACTGATCACACACCAGCGCCTCTGCAGGAGCTGTAGATAAAATCAAATTTATAAGAAGGTATCTTGATCAGACAGGAAACACAAACGTGTGTTTGTAATTGTAGAGTAAGTCAGTTAATTTAGCATTTATAGAGAACTGTGGGAAAAGCAACAAGGGAGGAACAAAAGCGTCCTATTTCAAAAGTCACCAAAGAGCCTCGCTTGTCACACACTTGTGCTTTTCAGGTGTTAACACAAGGAAGCAAATGTGCGGAGTACAATGGAGCAGAGGAAAGCGCCATAAAAACACAACTCAGGACAAACAAAAGCACCAGACAGGGTGCAACGGCCCTTCTTCTTGACAAAAAAGAGCCGAGCTGAAGAGTTTTATTTACCGTGCCCTGTTATCAGTCTCTGAACAGTGAGCAGACTGTCTGCCTGAGAGGCCACAGAAGGACTGGGTGTTCTCTCTACAGCAGACGCTTCCCGCCTACGGCACATCCCTTTTATCAAAAAAAAACAGTTCAGAGTCAACACCCCAAATCCCATCGCATACACTGTAACTACAGTTCCCAGTTCACCTTTGGAATGCCCTTGTCTATTCTGATGAAGACATGAAAAAGACAAGTATGCATACCGCTTGCAGAAATGTTCAATCCTTGTTCTGCACTCACCTCACACCTGCACAGACAGACACATAGGACAGATATGCACGCACACATTCTCTCTCTCTCAGCTGCACACACACAGCTGTTTGGATGTGGGTTGGCTCTCACAGAGATGTAAATCGGTTGCAGATCCATACTGGCCCAGGGCTCATTCACTGATCTATTTTCTGCTCAGCTGGCTTTAAATGAAGTTAAAATGACTCATTAAAACACCCACAAGCTTTGGGAACTCTGAGCGCTACAGCCTAAATGTGGTCCTCTTTCAACTCTTACGATGCCTCTATACGCAGACACTGTGCCACTGTTCCCATTGCTTCACACAAATAACAAAAAGCCCCAATCTGTTCATTTCTAAAAACAACAATTTTTGAAAACAAACTGTTACTGTTTCGGAACGGTGCGTTTTGTGACACGGAACAAAAATAAAAACTTGGTAGAGAGCAGTCTTATATAGTAGTAACACTAGAGCAATGTTGTAGATCCTGATGTTGTGTGACGCTGTCCAGTGTGGTGTGTTGTGTTGTGTGAGATTGTGTGATAAGGGAAGAAGAGAACATAGTGCATTGTCTTGTGCAGTCAAAGGCACGGAGTGTGCTCTCATCCATAAACCATCAAACTGTCTCCAGACGCGGCTGCAATCGTCCTCCATCAAAACACTTTGTCTGGCATACCAAAATAAGAGCCAGCATCGAGCTGAATACCAAATCAGCCCATTAGAGCAGTGGAGCACTCGCTCCTTAGCAACCAGCGGGATCTAAGGCTGCTATACCGAAATACACAGTGACAAAGAAATGAGATCCACATCTCTTTTTTTTATTTTTGTAGTATTATGGGTTGACACATTGGGATGGGGGAGAGTTTATGCAAAAATTCAAATTAGGTGAAAGGTGCCGATGTTGTAGATGTCACTGTGAATTGAAAATCAAAGAGCGAGGTCTGAGAGTAATGCAAGACAATATGCGTGTTTAGGGTTAGGCAGAGGCTATAGAAGAAGAAAAAGGGACGACTCAGGTGAAGTTTAAAGAAGCAGATTCTCTCTCATCTGTCAGCAGTATTTCATTCCTGAACAATCCTCAGAGAGCAGGCGGAGAGGACAGGGACCTCGCCTTGTCTATACACATATTCCAACTGAGGTTTCTGTTTTAGTTTCATTTTTAGTCCCTGATCCCCCCCCCCCCCCCGGTCCGCTGCTCCTCTTTCTCTATTTTGGATAAAGTAGCTGGGAGAGCAGTCAGGTCTGATTAAGTCTGCATTTGGGTACAGTGTGTTCCTGGACACACATCTGCGAGCGAGCCATCACACACGCTTCGGAACACTGGCAGAACACCCAGGCCTGCCGGCAGCTGATGATGTCATCACTCAGAAGGGGCAGAGCTGGCGAGCTGCCAAAGTCTCCGAAAAAACACAGAAACGATTCAAACGGGGAGAGAGACTAGAGAGAGGAGAAGAGAGGAAAGGGAGGGAGAGGTACACAGACCTAAGCATGGAAAAGAAAGCATGATCCAAGTATTCAGCGCAGCAGTAACTGGTAGAAGGAAGAGGAGGGGGGGCGGGGTTGTAGTATGAACAGGTGCATTTGAAAGGCCGCACTATCAAGAGGCTTCATAAGCACTGAATACTCTGAGATGAGAGTGTGAGAGTTACTAAGTACCTGTGTGAGACAGCATGTGCATCCTTAGCCGCATGCTGTCCTGGAAGTGTTTGCCACAGTATTCACAGCCATGGCCCTTCTCCTCGTTGTGCAGCCTCCTGTGGAAAGACAAACACTAATGTGAGCGTGTTAACAGAGAGCGAGAACACACTTGTGATAATAAAAGTATCTCGTTTCTGCGCCTTTTTTTCTGTAAGGTCTCCCAAACCCAGAAGCATCATTGTCCTCGTAACAAGAGGAGCATGTTTTAATTCCGGCAAGAATCCCTCACTGAATGCAACATCATTAGTGTAAGAGGCCCTTGGAGTTGTGAATCACAACGCATGAATGCTAAAAGAACACAGACAATAGGATATCTGGCTAATTTCAGAGTGCAGACATACGCGTGCCTCCACCCGGCAGCATTGCAAGACAGTGGGCACGCACACACACACACACACACACCAAGCACATGCACACACACTCACACCACAACATAACATGCGAGCACACATACACACACACACTTCTCCTGTAACTGCAATGAAAAGAAGATGATTCGCTGAAGCTCCGCCGGCAGCAAAACCTATCATATCATATCACACACACATCCAAGCATGCAAGGCATCTGTACTGTTATCCTTATATCACCCCGCTAACAGCAGAGAAACACACTCTGTGGTCACACTGAATCCTGAGACGGAATTTTAGCACACATGAAATCAACTTTGACATTTTAATCCTTTTGGAGCTCAGGAACATTACCATTTTTTTGGCTTTGTGTTGTAAGTTTGAAGATTTGACTGACTTTTGAAGATGATTTTACATGAACATTAATTGAGACTTTTAGATTATGGGTATCCTGATGGCCCAGCAGCCCGGTACTCAACCATATGACTGTGTATGCATTCTCTTTTTTCTCTCCGCTGTTAAGTATTTCATAAAAGGCAAAAACGTGACGCATCCTGGTGGACGAGGGGTTTAAGGTGCTCCCAATGTTGTGAGTTTGAGTCCAGCCAGGAATATTTGTTGCATTTTATTCCCCGTCCTCACTCTCTTCATTTCCCGTCTCCTCTCTATTATTATAAAGACATAAAACATGCCAAAGCATATTTAAAAAGGCAAAATACCTTAAAAATATAAAAGCATTATTTTAATTCCTTTAATTCTTATTCCAAGGACACAATGGCAATAACTAATTTTAAGTTGATTTATTTAAGAATACTAAAAACATTTGTTGTCTTCAAACACACAGAATATACCTAGAATACTGTGGTTTTGTCACCATAATAATAATAATAATAATAATAATAGTATTGCATGCTTTAATAATTTAATTATTAAATTATATTATTATATTTTTAATAATAATAATGCTGCTTTATTCTACTGGGACTACTGAAAAAAAATTGAAAAACAAATTTATGTAGTTTTTCAGACAATTCTTTAACAGCACTACAAAATGTCAATCCTGCAGACCAGGTATGTGCTCAGTGACCTGGTTACAGACCTATAGCAACTTTATTACATCCTCAAGCAGTGCCACCAATGCAACTCCTTCAACCTGCGGACATCCGCCTGTCTCCATGAGTAAGAAACACGCATCACTAACTATCCCACAGGATGCTCTGTTTCACTGGGCGGTTTCAACACAACTCTGGATTGGCACGAGGCTGAAATGTCAGCCACAGGCGCTGATGGGCAGAGACTGTGATCCTAATCATGGCTTAGCTGCATATTAGGACTTTTGGCTCACAGATTGTCTTGTTTCTAATGATTAGTGATGAGTCAAACATTGGCCAGCACGCATACTTATAAACATCTGCAGTCAAATTAATGAGAGTTGTCACTGAGCTAGTCTTTAACTTTTTGTGTAAGATGAGAAAATCTAAACTGACAAGCTTGTAAATAAGGGAGAAATGAACAAAAAACAACAGAGCGAGTTGTGAAGCAGAAGTTATCCGTCATCTAGCTGAAGCGTCCAGCCCGGTTCCTGCTGAGAGGCTCCTCTCTGCTGATGCAAAGGAATGCATATCAAATAGCCTGGGAGACAGCCTGTTGTGTGAGGCACACTTCTGCACAAATAATCAAACAGAATTTAGGAAATAAGGCTTTGTAAATAACAGCGTTATGTGACACCAAGGCCTCTTTATATCTAATCCCTCACAAAGATCCGATTCAAACCTTCCCGAAACATCTCACTGTTAAGACATTAGTGCAGGTGTCCCTGAGAATAAATTAACATTTTTGCTGTTGCTCCTTCCAGCTTTTAATTCTCTTAGTATTTTAACATGATGGGGGGTGAAAAAATCCTGAAGCCCAAGAAACCATTCAATTCAAGAGACATGTGTCCAATGCTTTTTCTAACAGCATAATTAACTACTTAAGCTTACATTCATCATACCGCACAAGCTCACATGCACATCTTTTATTAGACACAACACATTTGTCATTAAAAATGTTGCGCAGTGAGTGTAGCAGTGTTGTTTTTCAGCAAAGAGACTAAAACTATGCCCTCTTTCCTTGGGCTTTAACAAGTGATTATTATATTTTGCACCCGGACTGGATACAAATTTTCATTGTTTCATTTTCCATTACTTAAGATACTAAAAATAGATTTAAAAGATCCTGTAATGCAGCAGGAGAGTGAAAGAAATGTTGTGTTTGTGGATGTTTTGTACACATCACCTGTGCTGCTCCATGGCCTGCCTGCTGTGCAGCTGAAGCCCACACTCGCCACAACACTGCTGGCCTTGAGCCTGGCCCTCGTGCCTCATCCCTGCTGCAAATTGGCCCAGCCTGCTGAGGAGCTCCCTGTGCAGCAAGCCTTGGTGCAGCAGGCCGCTGTAGGCCCTTGGGTCCAGCGGCATGCCCAGGGACGGGGCCACTGAAACGGACACTGGCAGGATCCCCTCCCCTGTGTGGTTGGAGGGCACAGAGTATATGGAGGCCAGATGTTTCTCGGAGATCCCGGGTAAACAGTCAAGAGAGTTCCCCACCACTTGTCCTCCATCTTCAGGGCCTGTGTGCAGCTCTCGAGCGCTGGTGATCACACTGCCTCTCAGGGGTGTCCCTGGGCCCTCGTCTCTAGGCTGGTCTGACATGCAGCTTCCCTCCCCGGTGCTGGAGGACCTGCCCTCGCAGCCGTTGGCATCATCCACCTGCATGCTCTCGGATTTTATACTTCTGGCAGGATCCAGGGATGATGCCTGGGATAACTCTGCACTGCGACACTGGGGCTGCTGGGAACTCTCCATGTCAACCTCTGTGTCCAGCTTGGGGCTCAATTCAGAAGCCGCCTCGGGCTCTGGACCTGGAGAGCTCCTCTCCGTCATGTGGTACAGCGCCAGGTGGTGTAGAGCAGTGGGAGTGGTGCGGTTGGGTCCATCCTGTATGGAATGCTTCTTGGACATCAACATGTGCCTCCAGTGCCTGGCCCGGCTGTGGTCACTGTGGTCTCCAGAGCTGTGATTCCTCACCGCCACCTCCTCGCTCTCCTCCGCCTGGATGGTCTCCAGCACCTTCAGGCACTGCTCCTCCAGGTACTCGATCTCCAGGATCTCAGCGGCATACAGCAGGTCATCCAGATCCTCGGCCGTGGCCTGGAGCGAGGCGGTATAGGCGTACTCCAGGATCTGCTGGAAGGTCTTGGGGGACAGGAAGTCCAGGGCGTAGCGCAAGCTGCTGCGGTGGAACAAGATCTCAAACATTTTGCTGGTGCAAGCCAGGACGGTGCGGTGCGCCGGGAACTCCTGGCCGTCTACCGTGATGATGACATCACACAAGGTGCCGGTCAGGCGCATCTGATTGGCCCTCTGCAGAAGCGTGCTGGGGTGAGTTGGATTGTGGAGCTGGAGCACACCCATGTTTGTCAGACCCTATCCACTCGGACCTTTGCTGAGCCCACGCATGAGGTGTGACTGTCCTGCCTGCTTCACTTGCCTTCAGCTGGTTGTAGGTCTGTTTTGGGAGGAGTGGGAGGGTAGAGGATCATTAGTGCCTGTCTGGCTTACAATGTGATGTAAAAGCCAGTTAATTATACTCCAGTGATGCTTTCATCCAGTGATCGCTTTTTATATATATATATATATATATATATATATATATATGCTATCTCAAGTATATTCTGAGATTTTATATATTCTGAGGTTTTTATTTCATGTACCCCACATGTTTATTTTAATTAAGGACCAAAGACAGACAACAGGTCGATAGGCGCAAAGCAACAGTTTCCATTGCAGGTGATTAGTCTGAGGTCTCGCTGATAGCGGTCACGTCGCTGTAATAACGTCTGCATACTGAGAGGTGACGGTTTAATTTATCAAGCTCGGCGCGCGCGCACACACACCCGCGCGCGCGCGCACACACACACACACACACACCCATGCCCTCAACAGGTAGGCCTGCTATTAACAAACGCCTTGAAGGGCTGATTAGTTCATTTAGGCTGCGCACGTTCGTGATTAGATGTGTTAAAGACAATTAAGTCTGCTAAAAATCCCTAAATAAGTTATAAAACTATCCACTTGATGAAAGCATGGAAATGTAGCGCAGCCCTGGCACGGATACATGTGTTTTTCACTACATTTAAATACCTAAATGACAGTGTGAGTGATGATAAGGCTCTGTATGATGATTAGTATTGTCGGACCACTCAGCAGCACCTCGAGTGATGCTGACAGGCTGCATCCCCAACTAACCGCAACATCAGAGCGCATCAGGTGCAGACGCACAAATCCACCTTTATTATCCAAACACATTGCGATAAATTAGCACTCTCTATTTACTGTCTGCACGGTGTGAGGGAACGCGTCCTGTCCGAAAAATAAAAGACCCAATTGGTCCAAAATAGTCCAGTGATCCTTCGGTAAACGGAACAGTTTTCGATACAGTCGGAGCTTAATCAAGTTTGTAAAATCCTAAATCAGACTGCTGCCAAACTTCCACACGTCTGCTGTGAAACGAAATTCTAACAATCCTCCACAACGCTGGCATTATTTAAAATCTTAATTGTTAAAATGAGTGTGAGACAGAAAAGTAGTAAATCGGAGCGGAATCACCAGTCTGAAATTATCATCAGAAATAATAAAAGTGGCGGCTGTCAGTTGTTCTTACCTCTGTCTCCTAACGTCCTCCGCTGATTATCCTGGCAACATCATGGTTACACATTTCACAGTACCCGCTCCAAACTCAGTCCTGCTCCAAGTAAGCAAATCATCACCCAGCCACGACAGTCAAACCAGCAGGGGAAAATCAAGACTTCCGAGTAGAACATTCAAAATAAAACTCTTGACTACCACGTGTTGAAATAACAGGATTTGATTATAACTTGGGGTGTTATTGTCAGGAATAGCCAGGAAGAAAAATAAACGCAGGGATTTTATGGTATTTAAAATTTGGTTAGCCAGATCTTGGTATTATAGTCAGATTAAGACTTTCAAGTTAAAGTGACAGACCTTGGTGTCAATAATGTTACACTATGATGTTATGTAGCGTTAATTGCTCTTTGTGTTGGAAATAACAAAAAAAATTTAATTAGTGTAATGGCAGAATATGGCAACAATGTGTAAAAAGTGCATATATTTAGCAATTACAGAAATCTTTTCTAAATACAAATCTTTAAGCAAAAGACGCATTATATGTTTATCACATAGGAAGAGAGGAACTTCCTTGGTGTAGGTTGTCTGCCTCAAGACCAACTTGTCAAGTCTTGAGTATGTGTGTATAAGTTGCCTTGCTTACCTTCATTTGGATACAAAGTCACTGGATGATCTCACAGGTGGGTTCAGTTTTAAAGATCAAATGTATACATTTCTTCTGCTAGTACTGACACAAAATCTATCTAGAAAATAGAGGGAATGGAAATGTTTAGAAACTCTTTAAGTCAACCAAAAATGTGGGAGTGTCTCTTTGGTGTGCAAACAATGCTGAGCAAGAGGGGGGAAGGGAGCAAGAGAGACATCACTTAACTCAAACCTGTGTCTAACCGGAGAGTATCCAGATGTTGAAAGTCAACTTTTATTCTCCTACTGCAGCCATTTTTAAACGTTTGACATTTCAACAAATGATTGCTAGATGACCGCCTCGTAGACTAGATTTTAGAAATACTGAGGCTGTGGCATCCTGGTGACCTAGTGCTTTAAGACACTATGTGGTCAGCTGAGGTCAAGAATTTTTGTCCACCCGATGCACCCCTCCCCCTAAGTCTTGAACATTTTTCAAATATTTGTTGACTGTTCAACTACTTTTCTGTAATTGTTTTTTCTCAGCACAAAGTTTAAATTTTATGTTCCACACTGACAAGAATCACATTCTGGTGGATAAATACTTACTGATTTTGTTCTTTTTTCCCCTTAATGTTGACTTAAAAGCAGGCAAATGTAGATGCACTAAGACGAAATATACTTGAATCAGTCTATAATGTAATCGCAGTGTGTAAATTGTCTGAAGAATGTAATATGGAGTCCATTCTTTCTGCAAAATGGAAATTTACATTGTTGATACTTGTATGTACAGCTCATAATAATTTACTTGAACATTTTTGAAAACATGTCTTTTAGTCATAGTACTTATAGAGTATATAGAGTATTTTTATATTGTCATATTCAGTTGTGGAAGAAGTATTCAGATCTTTTACTTGTAAAAGTAGTAAAACCACAGTAGAAATACTGTTACAAGTAAAAGTCTTGAATTCAAGTATTAGCATCAAAATCAAGAAGCAAAAGTAAAAGTACTCATTATGCAGAATGGCCCATGTCAGAATAATAAATATTATTGAATTATAATAAATGCATTATTACATAAGCATCACTAATATTGAATGGTGGGGCTCATTTTTACTACTTAATTCTGTAATAGTACTTCATCATTTATTAACTTTGTTTTTGAATACTGGTTATAACTTGCATTAATCTGAGTCTGGAGTAAAACGTGCAGTAAAAAGTACAAGTTTCGCTCTGAAACTGGACTGGAAGTATGAAGCAAGTAAAATACAAGTAGGCCTACTGGAGTAGATGTATTAGTTACATTCCACCACTTTGCTACGTTTATTTGAGTGACTGAATACTTCTTCCATCACTAGAAGAATAAACTGATTCCTAATGCGCTGCAAAGCCCATCAATTTTCCCTCTTAACCGTTTTACTTTGAAGGCCACCTTGCTTAACTTCCTGTGTCATCGCGGCTGCCTGCGTCTGACTTGACTGGCTGCAAATCATCACCGGGGAGACGTCACGGCTCTGAACGATCGCCCTCTTCTCCTCGTCTCTCCGTCAAGGCTGCAATCAGAGACATCTACAGGGCATCTGAACTACTGACAGCCTACCAGGTTAGGACCAGTTTGTTGTCCTGAAATAAGAAGCAGAAACCGATGAATGCAGCAGATAGTCTATATAAAGCTCAAACCAGTTTGTATTTAATAGGTCACACTACAAATATAAAAATTATTATTAGGGGACAGTCGGTCGGTGTGGTGAGTGAAACAGGATGCCATGCCGGGTCAGTGTTGGCAGCTTTGGTTGTTGACACTGTGTTGACACAGCACCGGTTTGCGGGTTCATGTCACATTTGACGTACAGAGGGGAAGGATGCCACGGCTGAAAATATCAAGCCCTCACTGGTACATAGTATTTTGACATCCTAGCCTGGAAGTATTAACTTTACTCCAGCACAAACATGCGTTGTGTAACACGTGTTTATCTGCTCCCCCACCTATCAGAACCAGTAGCCCGAGGAATTTGAAGCCCCAACATAACCTGTTTGCACTGTAACCTTTCTGTAAATAGTCCTGTGTGTCCATGACATGGCGAAAACAAAAGGCAATCCAAGATATGTGTTTACTGCCATCTAGTGTCCAAAATATGTCACCACATGCTCTGAATCTAAGGACACAGTTTCTTTAAAAAAAAAAAAGGAAAAGTAATTGAAACTAATGAAAAAATGGGCCAGGACGAAATTAGATTCGGAAAATGTTTTATTTTGTAAATGGGTTAGCACTCAGACTGTACACAACAGATATTTTCTGAGTTTGACCCAATAAAACCAAAAGGAGCGTCCAGAGGCGAGGGAGCAAGGTGGTCAGGTAACAGCAGTGGAGTACAAGCTTGTCGTTTTTGTTATATACTTCACTTCTCTTGACATTACATCTATTATCTAAAGCTTTAAAAAAAAAAAAGTTTAATCGCCTGTCTCAGGTGGACCACCTTGCTTCCTGCCAATGGTGTCCTGAACTTGTCAAACAGTCGCTCTTGGTGAGTGATTTTTGTACAAAAAGACAAAAACTAAAAAAAGAAATTCAAAGACCACATTACAGAACACTTGAATAAAAACTGGGGTTGGGGGGTAGAGAAATAAAAACAATGTGTTGTAATTCCAGAATAAGTCCCAAAGGTAACACTTATTAAATCAATATGAGAATTATTTCCCCCTCAAACAAACATGGGCACGTCTATCTGCCTTGTAGTTACACGTTATGAAGTACTGACTGAATTCATGCCAAGGCTCAAAACACCTTCCTTCACTATAGCTGGCAATATATAGTGCTGTGACCAGAGACGGACAGATTTATACACTACACGTGTTATAATGACCACATTAGTCCATTTATCATACTTTTCTTCTAATAATACAATATATTAAATAAAAAGAATAGGCTAAATCTCTCACGACAAAGCTATGCAGATTATCATAGAAACTGATGACAAGACAATCTATTGACACACAGGCACAGTGCACAAGCTTGCAGGCAGGAAATGGAAAATAAATCTTTGTAGTTTTTAAATAGTACAAAAAGGCTTTTTTATTTATTTTTTGCTTCAAAAGCACAACTCAAAGCACAAAGCCAGACCTTTGATCTGCTTTAATGTGAGGAAGAAACAATAGCTATCATAGTTGTTGCCCCCCAAACAAATACGTGGCGTATATATTTAGCGCAAGATCATAAGACATTCGCTTGATTCGCGGTTCTTCAACCCTTGGCTGAGAATCAGCAGTTCTGCTGGCATTTTTTTGTCTTTCTGTGAACATTTGTGTTTACGAGTTGCCTCTTTTAATTAAACGCATTTTTATTAATATTTTTAACTAACACTGTGGTAAGGCAGTGACAGACTGAATACATTTGATCATAAAATAGGCCAAATCTGATCTGATCATGCACACTGTCGATGTGATTCTCTGTTAGTCTCTTTTCCCCTGCAGCTGGCTGTGGGTTAATCCTGTATTTTTATAACCATAGCAAATATGGTTATAATATTGAACTCGGGCCTATGTTTAATCAATGCCAGCGTATCTGTGAGAGATGACACATCTCTGTAACAGACAAAGTGAAACCATAAACCTTGCAAACAAAACTTTACAACCACTTGCAGGTCAGACATGCAGAACAAGCTATTTAATGAGACTAGCCCACAAATTAAAGAGTCAAAACAAAAAAATTCAAACAGTTTCACATTTGAACAGTTGAACATGAAAATAAGAAAAATAATTTTTTTATATATATATATATATATATAGTCAGGTTTTTTTTCTCCTCCATTTCTCATATTAATCCAAGATTTGTGCACAATTGCAATTCAAACTATAAGCACAACAAAAAGTCGAGTCTAATTTCATATTTTACCAAGTGATCATTGTAATAAGAGATTCTTCTTTAATTGTCCTGACTAGTTAAATAAAATAACAATAAAAAAATAAAATAAATCTCTTATGACCTAATGATAAACTCCTTGGGTGTAGTAAACATTTCATGAATGAAACCAGAAATTAACGTGTGTTGTTTTCAATATGTAGTTAAGGGCACTGGAAATCAAAACTCCTTCAGTGTTTCTCGCTCGTTGCTGCTGCAAAAATGTTTTGGATTAGGCTGGGGTTTCCCCAGCCCATCATGCTTTGCTCTCGGTGGTATTTGTCTGTATGACACTGTTGTGTTCTGCAGCGATTGCCGTCAGGGTGTTTGAAAATTCTGCCTCTTCCAGCTTCCCTTTCTCATCAGAAAAAATCTTCCTGCAATGGGAAAAAGGAGAAAGTGCAATATTAGAAATCTGGTGGTCTCTGGCAAGAACACAAAAATTCTCAGCAGACAGACACTTTGGTTGAACACAGTTTTAACCATTTATTCTCAATAACATCTTCACCCAATATGTAAGAAGACACTGCATGTTTTTAGGTCTTTTTACATATTTCTTCACCACCTTGACAACAGTCAGATAAAATTAAACAAACAGAAAATGACAGCCACATAATTCATCCTGCATCGACTAGCCTTCCTGATCTAAAACAAAAAGTGTTTAGCAGATATTATCTATTAATCAGTTTAGTTCTACTTCAAAGACACTATGATGGCACAGTAAATGAGCCCTGGGCTTGTGCTATCTGATATCCATGTTCATCTTAAAGCCGTGAAGCACAGTATCTAGATCCTGCCTGCAGTTCCTCTCCTCTCTTCTGCAGTTCAGAGCAGGAAAACACCACCGTCTAGTCTCTGTTCTCTTTGGTAGAGCTGCAGAGTTGGGGAGCATTAAAGCAACATTCAGAGGTAAACAATTACTGCCTGAGACAAAACATTGTCATTAAAATAAACCCCCTTTCAGACATGGAACACGTAACGTTCATCTATCTGTTAAAGTGATAGTGTTTTGTCATTCAGACACACACAGGTGTGTGTTGCAGCTTTGTTCAGATGTGGCAGGGCTGCCACAATGCTTGTGCGATATTGCCATCTGGTGCACAAGAGGGAGTAGTGGCATCGTTGAAAGTAATGATATCAACAGGCTGCATCAGTGATTGATTTTAAAACGTATTTTCCACTTGATGCCTTAATTAATGACCCTCAAGAGCAAGAGGAATACTCATCCCCCAATAAATCTTCTCATTTTCATCATTTATTAGAGAATCCTCTCGTCTATTTTACAATGTCAATATGTCAAGTTGGGACAGTCTGACAGACAAATGGATTCCCATTTGTCTGTCAGACTGTCAGAAGTGTTTTGCTGGATATTCCTTCTTTCATGCAAGCAGTTTGGCACAAATGTCACCTACCGCAGGGGGAAAGCTTCTTTTTTAGACTGAGGCGAAAAGTCTCAACATATTGGTTCGTTTATAGTGTTTCCTGTAGGGCTGACCCCGAATAGTCGAAGATTCAGAGCCTCATTCAACTATCAATCTCACAGTCGAAGCTTCGCAGCAAAACAAGAATCATGCCATTTTGGCGATATGGGGGTGCTCAGTGTTTGATTTTACATAGAACCGCCAAGCGGGAAGCTTTCGGTCTGCAATATGAAGCCGATCCCTGAAACCAGCAGGGGGCGACTCTTCTAGTTGCAAAAAGAAGTCCAGCTCCATTAGAAATAATGGGAAAATGACCCTACTTCTCAGCTGAATAATTACCCCAGTAAACACTTTCCTGATGAGTTTATGGTCTCAGTCACTAGTTTCAAGTCTTCTTCAACACAGCATGATTCATTTAGTAAATTATGGTCCCATATATTTTAAAATAGACCACAAAGCAGAGTATGTTTCAGGGCGGGATTATCTATGATTGACAAGTCGTTACCATGGGGACCTGTCAATCAGGCTAGAGCCAACTCGTACCCTCTGCACTGTGTGAATATAACCAGCACCATTGAAAAAGCTTATTGGAGTTGGCTGTTCACTTTCTCTGGTGAGTACATTTAGTTTTAAGACTGTCGCTAGACAAAGTTATCAGCCCAGTTAAAATGACAGTTAACGTGAGTTACAGTTGCACCTAGCTAAGCAAGCTAGCTAGCTCTACACACAGCCTTTAGCTCCGCCGTATCGTCACTTCCGGGCACTTCCTGGTTGCAAAAACTCAACACGGTGGCGCCCTTTCGGCCAAACTCGAGGCTTTAAAACGGCAGTCCACAAACCAACAAGTTACGTCACGATGACTACGTCCATTTCTTATATACAGTCTATGAGAACCGCCAGTTTTCTCCCAATAAGTTAATATACAGCCTATTACAATATACATTTCAACATTTAATACTGTAAATAAACATGTAAAAAGAATAAAACTTTCAATAAATGTCTTTAAAGTGAGCAAATACATCCAACATTGTAACGCTAACCCTGGGGCGTCAATGCGCATGTGTAGGCGTAGCGTGTATATGTGAAGTGGCAGAAGAGTAATGCTTGCTGAAGAGACCGAACCCCAGCTTCACTGGTGTTGTGCTGAGTTGTCCGCACCTCGCGGGACTTTCGGATAATTTATCACCGTTGATGAACCACACAAAGAATATTTTGTTTTTAAATAGCCGGCTACTTGAAATAGAACCACGAGGAACCGTGACGTACATGCAGTTGTCGGCAGCACTGAATGCAGGTCTTCAAAAAGCTTCAAAGCGGTAGCTTTAAAGTGGAGCTACCGTATGTGTTATAAAGTGATTTATAAATATTTTCTATGTGCATAAGAGGGGATAATAAAGTGATACATTTGTTACATGAATTTAATAAATTCAAATTTATTAAACTGTGCTTTCACATCCTTTGCTCAAAAAGAACTAGTTTGTTTTGCCCGACCACATTAGAAGGCAAATGTGTGTGTATACCTGATCTGAAGGTAAGGTTAAAAGCCGGCTATAGAAGGAATGAAAAGAGATAATCATATAAATATCAGGATAAATGCGCTCATCTTCATACATTCTGGAAGGTATTTAAAGAGGCGCACACATTTGTAAACACAAAGTGACAAATGGTGAAAATGAAAGCACTTGAGAGAGAGAAGTTCAAACCTTGTTTACTTTCTCATCTCTACACACCTGGCCAATGAGCGTGTAAAATGATTGTAAATGTCGCATTATAAGTTTGGTTTGTAGGAAAGATGGGAGTGGGAGTTTCTGAAGCTTTTCAACAATCTGACAAGCAGTTCTGATGAAGCATACTGGCAGCTTTGATCTGACAGCATTTAATTCAGACTTGTGTCGTGCTGGACGTTTTATAGAAAAGTAAATAGATTTATCTAACAAGGTTCATGTCTGAAAGGGGCTTAACTATTCTTTGTGGTGAATGTTGCAAAGTAGAGACCCCACAATGGAGAAATGTTACACACAAGCGTAAAAAACAAACATCACGCATCTATCACAATCCACAACATCTTACTAATAATTATCCCAATGTCATTACCACAGTTTACCATTACAATATTTCATATTGTGTGGTCAATGGCAAGATGCAGTGGTGAATGAATGGGCATACAAGTTGCACACACACACTCACACACACAGAAACCTCTAGAGGGAGCCGTACTCATCGTTGACAGGAGCAGTCTTGGCCAGAGTCTCTGATGCCTCCAGAACTGGGCCTGAGGGGGGGAGGTCTGCTCCATCTCCATTGGTCAGAGAGGGGGCAGAGGGCGGACTCTCTAAGCTAATAAGGTCTGCGGGTGGCAGGGAGGGTATTTCTGTCCCGTTTGTCAGCTCGAACTCTAAATTTGCAATTTTGGGCCCCACGTTGGGGGTTAGAAAATCATACGTGTCGGACGCCGATGTGAGGAGATCATTTGAGACTGGTGCCTCAAGACCAGTGGGGGCAGGAGTAGAAGAAATATCTTTAACAGGTAGAGGGGTTGGGACATCTGCAACTAGAGGAGCAGATTCTTCAGCATCCAGGACTTTAAGAGCCCCGTGGATCACGGAAGGAGAGCTGGTTGCAGCATCTTTGGCAGTGGGAGTGTTACTATCAAAAGTTTGGTCAGCAGGTTTATTATTAGTGTCAAAGGCAGTAAGGCTAAACCCGCAGGGATCTGGGGCCGTTGTATTTGAATCAGGGTCTGGTTTTGGAGGGGCAGTTTGTGCTGGAGTCTCGGTGTCTAAGGCTACAGTGTGTGGCTGTATAGGAAGCTTGCTGACTGGTGGCTTCGGTGCAGGTTTCTTGGTGTCGAGAGTGGGAGAGGACGATGAGGAAGACGCAGCCAGGGGAGATACGGGGGGGCTACCTTTAGCATTCAGAGCGGCGAGTTTAGGAGAGTGTCTGCGCTTTGGTGGTATCGGTGTCCCGGATTTTTGAGCTTTAGTCCATTCAGGGGTACATGGAGGAGTGGTTATTTTCTCCTGTTCTTCTGGGGGGTTACTTCCTCTTTGTTCTACTAATGGGGCCATTTTAGCTTCGACGGCAGAGGTGGTGATGAGGGGAGTCGGTGGGGCGGTGTTCGACTCTGGAGTCGGAGCCGGAACAAGGGTAGGTGAGGGCTCTGAGGGGTCATTGGCAGGGGTAGACAGGCTACAAGTGAGGGTAGTGGTCTCGCTAGAGGGGCTGTCCTGAGCAGGGTCAATTGTTGCAGTGGCTGTGTCAGAGTTGGTGGCTATGGAGGAGAGCGTGTCCAGTGCCAGAGCAGCAGTGAAAGCCGCCAGCCTGAGAGAGCAGGGAGAGAACAGAGACACACAGACTAGACACCAGGGTGACTGTGACAGAGGAAGGGTGGCCCCGACGAGAGCATGCAGGGGGATTAGTTGGCTTTAGAAATTCACACAAACATAGACAACGCAACTAAAAAACAGCAAATATTAAGCCTAGTGAGAAAAAGAAATGAAGAAAAAGAGGGCGTCATGCTGTGAGTGAACATTAAAGGATACATCCCATACACACACCAACATGGAGTACACTGACTAGGAAAACTAATATACTTAAAAAAAAGCACCAGTCTTCCTGCAGAAAACTACAGCATCACGCAGAACCACCTATAAGGGTTAAACAGTACCAGTGACAGTCTCATACTGTATAATCTATTTTTTACAGACTGCTGATATGAGAGATGGCTTGCTGAAGTTGTCAAATGGCTTCATATGACTTGACCACACTCAAGAGGACAAAAGCCTTTCCATGTCTTTAACTGGTATTGCTTCAACCTTCATATAATGAGACAAAATCTCCAAAGGCTGGAGAAGAAACACAAAGTGCAGTAATCCCTCAGAAAGGGAATATAAACAGAAAAGCAACACAGTTCAGTGGACTCCACTCAAGAATGATCTGAACTTTTCAAAAGATTTCAAGGGTCAAATTTTGTCCTGTTGAATAAGATAATTATTCTTTGAAGTGGAGTGCAATGTACAACAGCTAAATAAACTTGAGCGGTAAAAAGGCTGTGTGCTGTTTGTCAGTGTGTACTCACTCTGGCTCTGTGAGAGGTGTGGTTTCATTGGGTTCTGTCGGCCCTGCTGCGTTATGGTTGGCTGTGCACTCATCCTCTGTTTTGACTTCCACTATTGGCTCTTTGGACTCATCTTTCCTGTAGGATACAGAGACAAATATCTTGGTAAAATGGCAACAGATTATCTCGTTGAACAGTTACTATGTCTGCCACAATGAGCAGTAAGAAGAGCAGTAGACAGTGAATAGGTCAGACTGAATAGATTATCTTTTCAACTCAGTCACAGTCTGAATATTCCATTCGGACAACTCGCGAAGAAGTACTTCAGTGAACAAAGCAACTTCCCACTCAGATTGATTCAAAACAGCCTTTTTGTGCACGAGAGTATTTGTTCAATGCTTCACTTAAACCCAGCATCCTTCATATTTTCACTGAAAGAGAAATCCACTCTAAAAATGTAATCTCATTTATGGGCCTATGTTATTGATCTGTGTATTGTTCCTGTGGATACTGCCTGAGTGGACCATAATGCACTGCTGTCACAAGACGGTTTTTTTTAATGGAAAAAATTAAACCATAAAAACTTCAGCTAAAATGTCAGTCCCCAAAATGCCAGTAGATGAGGTAGACTTAGGCAAAATGTAAACAACTAAAAGTTAACTTGATCTAAAAAAAAATGCCTGGAAGACATTTAATTGATCACACATAACAGAGCCAAGAGCATCACAGGGTTTTTACTTCAAGTCACAAATCTACCAAAAATCATTTACTTTTAGTCATTCTTCTTCAGAACTGGAAATATTTTGACTTCCACAAACATGGCACCTCCCAGGTCAAAGGAAGCAATGCCACCAACGTCCGTCATTCATTTTATTCACTACTGCTACTGCTTGTAGCTTTTGCCAGCCTTGTTTGAGGGTGGGGAAGTTATGTGACTTTTCAACTTAATGAAGTCACTCTACAGATTGCACCTGGCTTAGAACTATATTGCTGCTGCTGATCAGATCGTATTGTGATCACAATGCATTCTGAGTGCATTTACACATTCCATTAACATGTATTTCTTCATCCAGATCGCATGATAATGCCAGGTGTAAACAGGTATGAGGGTATCTTATCCCTAAGCAAAGTCTAGTGATTTTCTTGCTGGTTATGTAGTATTGCAGTTTGGGATGCATGTGGGTAGTAGTTTAGCACCTAGCTTTGTGCTTTCTCCTCTCTCACGTTTCTCCCTCTGTCGATTCAGCAGGTATTTCCGCCTCCAGAGCTGTAGAGTCTGACTCTGTGGGTGCAAGCCACCTGCTGCCCCCATGTCCCTGCTCGACATCCACAGCTACTAATATCATTATTATTATTAGTGTTATCTTTATTATTTTCATTGATTATATTATTAGGATAACTATTATTTTACATCCTGTGAAACCTGCATTGTGCTACTGAGTGTACTCTTTCCTCTTAAGTTAAAAAAAGAATATTGGGTCCTACAGTGTAACTGGAATTGAATTTTAATCTGGCCATGGGTCACTGTATAAAAGACTGTTAAACTGCATGTAATTGTTCTCACTAATACTCACATGAAGGCTGCCTTGCCCTCCTCCAAGTTGTGTCCTTTGGTCCCTGTGCCTGATTTGCCACAGAGGCACATGATGAGGCCACATTTGTTGACAAAGTAACAGGTGACATCCACAGCCAGCAGCAGGAGTACAAATGCTACTACAAGAATCCCTGCCCAGAGCATGATGCCCATGGAGAGCGCTGCCTCATCACCCAAATCTGCCAAACAATAGACAAGAGAGGGAGAGTGCTGAACAACTGTAGCGTGACACAGTTTTATAGAAAGAGCCATGAACTACTGAAAAAAGTGCTGCTATGCTACTGTAACCACAAAACCATAAAACAGAAACAACTCACCTGCAATGAGCACTGATACGTTCTAGTTGTCTCAGCATGAATTTAGATGCAGTGTGATGCGTTTGTGTGGACTGCTGTCTGACTTGTGTTCAATTATTTATAACTTCATTATAAATATGAGGTGTGTTGAGAAACTGATTTGCAAATGGTGCCCTTAAAAATATATTCAACCCATTTATTTGGTATTAGAAAGAAAAGCAAACCAAAGCTTACACTGCATTGCTAGTTACCCAGGACATTTGTGAACATAATGAGCGTGAAGCTTTTCTAAATATCACAAAAAGCTATATGTCCTCACTGATTGTGTGAAGTCCATTTTAATTATAGCTGATGACTGCAGAACTCTCTAAAATATCCTCTCTGTAGATAAATGTAACTCTTTAGATACCAATAATTAACAAGTAATTGAAATCTGCTAGAGAATAAAATGCAGCTGAGTAAAGCACCCTCCAATATAAATGTATAAAAACAGGTGTTTTTTGAATATTTGATAGACATTTCATGCATGAGAAGTATGTGAACATTTGTCTTAGTAATCCGCACAAAAATAAGTTTCCTTTTTCCGTATACAGCTTGTCGAACTGTGCCAATATTATCATTACAAACACTTTTCAGTTAGGCGTTTGTTTTCCATAATATAAACGTTAAGGTTACAAACATTTACAGTACATATCCATAATTTTGTGAGCAATTAGAGAATATAATACAGTGTTTATGTAAACGGACAAGCCCAGCACTCAGCCTTCATTTTGTTCTAAGAGCTATTTTTTTTAATATAAACTCATTTAAATTCCACTATTGGTCATTGCTGTAAACTGGCACTCCTCTGTTGTCTAGTACTGATGACTAGCTGTGCTAATGCTGAGCAAATCTGGGAGGAGGAGGATTTCGACTGCCTTTGGTTCAACCTGTCTGGTCTGTTCTGAAGTTACACAGCACCCTTTTCTCACCCATAACAGAAACATGTCTGTCATGGACAAAGTCTGTTTTAAGGAGTGAAAGTGTCCAGAGAGACAGCCAGGCCAGAGAAAGGCAAGCTCTCCTCTACAGTTATGGTGTGAATTCCCCCACGAAAAACTATGAGAGCAGGAGTACAGTGATGAGGGACAAGATGAGTGATGCCAAAGTGCATGTCACAGATGAACAGCCCTGAGTGGCTGAGGCAGGGGACAGCACAACCCCCCGACCACACCAAAATGCACACAGGTCGTGACGAAAATGTTCACGTGGTCCACCACACCAATATCCACGATCAGGCAAGAGAGCAGGAACATTGAGGGGATAAGAAGAGAATAAAGGAGGGGGGGGGGGGGGGATGAAGGGAAACAAAGAGGAAAAAAAGAGAAGGGTGGGGAAAACAGAGGAAGAGAGAAAGTGAAAATGTGTCAGGTCTGAAAACCAAAAGTGAAAGAAATTGTATTGGGGGTGGAAAAAAATACAGCAACACATCAAAGCAAAAGCACAGCACAAAGTGGAAAACTACACCGTGTTGGCTAGATGGTGACTCAGTGGTGGGTGAGTGGGAAATGCTTTAGATTGGAAAATGAATTAGAACAGAAGTGAGAGGAAGACATAATGGTCTGTTACGATGTATCAGCAAAGCACTCGGCAGTGTCTAGCAACTAAAGGGAATCTGACAAGCTGTGTGGGTTTCGTACGGTTGGTAAAAACCTTCAGCTGCTGTTAAGACCTCAAGGTACAAGTTAATCAGTGGTTATCAACGGTCAATTTAAAGGCTGCTTCCACACAGGGATAAACTATCCACTCTAGCTGCTATTTTAACAGTAAACAAAGCTAAAGAAAAACTACATTCATTCAGAGGAAATCATTTCATCCTCTGTGGAAAGAGCCTGTCCCAGTTCTGCAAGCGCAAACTCAAGCTCATTTAGCAAGGGTTGTCAAAACTTTAAAGTGAAAAAATTCAGCCGGAAAATCATTCCTGGCTCGCCACCATCCAGGAAATCTACTTTTTTTCTGTAGATTTATTTAGTTGTCATTCACCTTTCAGAGAGTTAAAAATAGGACGTGACGCTCTGATTTTGAGCTTTGAGTTTGGCTCCTCAGTTTTCTGGCTGTTTAGTTCCAGCTTAGTGTGAGTGACCTGAGGGAGGGTACCTGGGATGGCATCTGGCTCTGTGGACGTCCTGAAGGACATGGTTGCTGGCGGGGACTTGCCCTTCTGATTCTCTGCCACCACATAGACATTGTATTCTGTGTCCCACTCCAACCCACTGAGAACCACATACTCGCTGCCGCTGGGCATCCGGATTTCTGGTTTCCAATCTGGTGCCTCTAGCTACGGACACACAGAGAGAGATATACAAGACATGCATTTAGGGCACTAATCTAGATGTTTTTTTTCTTGAACAAAAGATTAACTGTTTGGTCCATAAAACTATAATATAATATAATAATAAAAAATGTCCCTCATTTCACTCTCTGTGACATCACTGTGACGTCTTCAAATTGCTTTTTATTTTGTCCAAGCAACAGTTTACTATGATGCAAGACAAACACCAGACAACTCATTTGAGAAGCTTGAGTCATTAAAATGTTGGCCATTTTTGCATGAAAACTGGTTAATTGAAGAATCGATAATTAAAATAGTTGCTAATTCACCGTGTCGCTCAGGTAATTGATGAATCAACTATTTGTTTCAGCTCTACATGCATTAACATGAAGGATTAAAACAACAGAATTAAAACTAGAATTAATTTTTACATTAATTAATTTTTTTTTTAAGATGTCAGAACTATGGCATGTCATCAAAAATTGTAAATTGGGCCTGCACTGACTTTTATTGTGTTCACTAATGATTAATCTGCCAATTAAATTCTCGATTAACTGGTTTATTGTTGAATATATGTAAAATGTCAGACATATAGTGAGAAAAACCACAACATTTTCCCCAAAACCCAAAGATCAGTTTACTACCATAAAAAAACATATATATAAAAATTGAGAGTCTAGAACAAGATCATTTTTGACATTTTACTTAATAAATTACTTGAATGATTGCTCAATTATCAAAGAAGTTGCATTAGTTGACACAGACTAATCATTTCTGCTCTAATCAGCATACTCACTGGTTTATAGCGGATGAGGTAATGTAAAATGGGCGAGCCGCCATCGTCCTGCTTGATCCAGCTGACTTTGAGGGAGTTGCCTTTGGGTTGAAGTGCCCCTTCGAGTTTAGGAGGATTGGGATTCCCTACAGGCACACAAGAGCAAGATAGAGGTTATTTAAAGGCTCATTTAAGGGGAGAACTAGAGGATTATTTTAGTGGGAACAGATTGTCAGTTCACCAGTACCTTTTAAAAATTGTAGAGCAAAGAAAACCAAAACCTTGATTAGAAAATAAACTCTGACATTTGGAACTGGCCTCTTTGTTGTTGTCCTTTTAAATCACTTGCCCTTCCTGAATCGCTCGCCTCAAGATGGTATGTCTCAAGTCAGACTAATTACCAAATGACACACAGCCACATGCTTATCTGATTCAGTCAGAGTTGCTGGGTGACATTCAATCGGTATAAAATTGCTGACTGACATTCCCCCAGTGTCACACAAAGCTTCAGGGGAAAGGGTTATTTCTCACTGACTGAAATGTTTACGTAGGATTTGCATTTCACAGCAAAATAAATGGGTTTGCCTGTAAAGATAAGCACTAGGTGAAATGTTTGTGCAGTACAACTTACCTGAAAAGCACTAAACTGATTTTCATTAAACACTCAATATATAACACACAACAATAACTTCCTACAGAAATGTATCAGATTGCATCTGTAAAACGGCAGATTTATTTATCTATTTGCTAGTTCTTTATATGCATTGCAGACAAAGTGTCTGATTGTGCTTCTTTGACCTGTGGAGTTCCTCAAGGGTCAGTCCTGGGACCGGACTTATTCTCCCTTTAGGGCACATTATCTATCAGTTTGGCAACTTTTGTCTTAATAAGCTCAGTGCCTGAATGTCTCCTTGTTTTCTGCAGTTAGCCTACATTACAACAAAACTGAAGCACCGGTCTTTGCTGCAAATCAGACTTTTGGAATTTCACATCAGCATCACTATTTGTTCCTAACTAAAACAGATTTGGTTTCAAATCTGGGAGTCAATTTTGATTCACAATTGAATTTTTACTAAGAGACTCAGATCTCAATTTATCCCTATTTGCCCTCATCTTTACACATTTTTGGCTTGTCTTTAATTTAAATATGTACTCAAATGCTTTTTGTCTTCTTTTTTGTGCAATTGTAAAGCACTTTGGACCCCCGGGTTAAACTACTATATAAATAAAGTATTAATTACTTATTGACAGACAGACAAGAAGAAAGATGTGCATAGTGGTTAGTGTTAATAATCTGACTCATAATATTGCTTGCTTTCAACACCCTGGTTAAAACCTGTCCAAGTTAGTTGATTGTGCTTTTAATGTATGGAATTCAGTCTAAGGTTAAACATGATAAACAATATGGAGGATGCAATGCACATAGTAGCTTTTGCTCTCAGCATGAATTCTAAGAATTCTTGTTTGAGAACCAGAGCAAACTGCTGGTAGGCACAGCTTTTTTGTAGGTAGGTGGGGTAGACATTGATTATGATTCCCCTTTGATTAGAGGAAACTGTGTTTATTACACACTTGATTT